AAAAAAAACCCCCCAAAAACAAAGGAAAAAAAAAACAACCTAAGACAAAAACGAACACATAAAAAGGCAAAAAGGAAGACTCTTTAGCATCATGCAATAGAGTTCAAAGGAGGTATAAAATATGTTGGTCGAGCCAGAAAAGCATATTGCTTAGGAATACATTTGTTGATCATCTTTAAAAATTCCCTACTTCTGTACTGACATAACTCAGTTATGATAACTCTGCTTTCATCTTAAACTCAAGAAATACTTGTTGCCAACTTTCTTGGTGACACTTCTAAATTAAATTACGCAGAAAAGAACGTCATAAGACCAACAATAAAAAAAAGTATCACAATATTGCCTCCTATTTCTTATCACATATGGGGTAGCAAAGATCAAACCTGAGTTGTCCATCCATCAAATGAGCCTGTTAGAAGAACCTCTGAGGCAGAGTTATGCCAAACAATCCGAGTAGTACGAAGAAGCTGTAAAGCTTTACTAGCACCATCAATTCTCTTTTGCTTCTCTTCCAACACCTTATCCGCATCACTGAAAAAGTATGGTAGGGGAACTCAGTTTTGGTAAAGGTATCTATCATAAAGTGAATTATAAACAAATGACAAATGATGCAGACATCAATGCTAACGCCATTTTCCCCTCAAGTATGGCAAGTTTTGCACGTATGGACCGCAATCTCTTCTGAGCATTTATGACCTCATTCTCCTGGAACTCCCGTGCATCAGAAAGGTTCTCCAAATCACTAATGGATCTGCCAAGAACCTGAGAAAGCAAGATTTCTTCAGAGCAATACAGGCATCACCTCTCCAAAATACAAAGAAACAATAAAACTTCTTTTGAAAATGTCATTGCATATATTTTGGAAATTTAAAGCCTTTTCTCCATAAATGGTGGCAGCCGAACCAAAAAATTTGCTGTTAGATCATTTTCCATTATTTGGGAGAGGATGCGGGAGTACAAGGAAGCAGTATCAGGTTATTGAGTTTAAATCCCCAGGAGAATCTCGGGTAGTAGGAAATTTATTCAGAACATATACAGTGTTGATTATTAATTTAGTTTAGTGCAAGAATTAGATCACGTCCTGAGAAGTCTTCTAATTAATTTCTCGACGCAGATCAAGAGCTGAGCAGAACAAACATATTTAACAGAGTTAAGCAACATCAATGGTTTGAGTGGAAGAATTGCATTACATTACCAAACCCAGCTAGTTAAATCCCCCATGCTACATAGTACAAAACAGGACATGAAAGCATATCATAGTAGGAAAAGCAAGACCATGATGCATAACTAAAAGAAAGACATGATTTATACCTCCTTTGAACTGAACTCCTGGCTCTTGGATCTCAGGGAGCGAAGGGTCGAGGATAGCTCAAGCTCTAAATGTCGAAGACGAGGTCTTATGTCATTATAATTGTCATTTTTCCATCTCTCCAAAGCTTCATAACTATTCTCTGTGATGGTTAATAGACCGTCTCTTGAAGATTCACTTTTACCTCCATCTGGTGTCTTACCAAAACTAATCTCACCAGCTGTACATAGGGGGAGTCAAATTGAGGCTACAAACTATGAACATGATTAGATTCCAGGAAGTGAATACCTTCAAACTCTGTGCCCTGAGGATCTGCACGTTGAATGCTCCATGTTCTCCACATATCTGGAGTGAATTCGTGGTTAAGCTGCCCTCCTGAATCACTTAAACTGCCTTTCTTGGGGCTACCTGATGTGAGGCTTCCATTTTCCCCTGGGTCAGTCCTGTCTTTTACAATGTAACAAGCATGGCATTTCATGTTTTAGTTTCCAATTGTATAAAGACAATTCACTAACTTATACATTTTTCATTTTAACATGTTAGCCAAAACTTTAAGGTTTCAATTATCACTACACCTGTAAAACATGGTGCCAAAAGGCCTTGATGATTAAACAGCATTCAAAACAGTAACAAAACAGATTAGAACAGGTTTATTGGGGAGATTAAAATGGGGAGAAAGGACCATACCCGTAGTAGTGGTTCCAGAGCTTCTACCATCCATGCTATTCCTGCTTGAAAAATTAGCCCCATA